TTTATAGCACCCTTTTCATGAGTACTCATGTTCAAAGGAGCTTTACATTAAGGATACAAATAGAATACACCCACACCCTACTACGGACCGTCACCAAAATTTAATCATATCTTTACTGGGTTATGCCTAGCACTCCCTCTTATTTTCATTTATGTCAGTGCAGCCGTTTTTGATATATGTTGCACACAAAAATACAACACGAAAATAACAAAACGTTAGACACTCACACACACACACACACCCCACCCACACACACACACAAACGTTAACACCCCAAATTACTACAAAGAAATGTCATTATTTTTAAGAAACTAGAAATAAAATTAATATCTTTTGCAGCGGTAAAAATGAGTACACGTTAATCATGGGCGGAGATATGATATGTATTTTACAATACAAACTAAATCAGACAAACAGTATAAACCCCAATGGCCAATATCCCCACCACTGACGCAGGGCCATCGGAACCATACCGGCCGCATAGGCTTTGGCCAGACGACTTTTTCCCAATTGTATTACTTTTAAAAATAACATTATATACTCTGATACCTGAAGTTAGTATTAATGTTAGCATTAAATTGACTTTTTAATGTTGTATACCGTATTTAAACAAAAATCCACCATTTTTCATTCACCGTTTTTGCATTGCCCATGTACATTTCAAATCCTTAACTTTAGTAATTAAGATTGATTTTAAAAATCTTTAGAGATATACATATAAATAGTGGCCCTGCCTATGTCGTAATTACGACATAAAAATGTCGAAATTACGACATACGTATGTCGTAATTACGACTTATTATGGCGAAATTTCGACATACGTAGGTCGAAATTTCGACATAAGTCGTAATTACGACTTACGTATGTCGAAATTACGACATAATAAGTTGTAATTACGACATAAAAATATGTATTTCAGTGGCCTTAATAGTCTTTCGTACTTACTTGAGGTAAAAGGGAAAACAAACAAAATAATATTCACTTACAATCTAATTGATTTTTTAGGTTTCTCCTTTTATCCTCCAGTGCGGGTCATTCTTGTGGTAATTGGACAATACACCGAGAGACTGTACCCCTACTCGTTTCCGAATTAGTGTACTGCGTTAATTTGCACGGGACGAACTGCTGAAATATCTCATCTGACGGTGCGCGGTGTTGAAACATTTCAGCCCTGTAGCTGAAACATACGAGCAGCGATGCCAAGTGATCTGAGCTAAGCTGCTTTCTCTGAGCCACTGCTCTCCCAAAATAATCTAAAAAAAAAAGAAAAAAATAAGAAAATACAACAAAAATTCAATTAATTTCTTGAATAACTCATAAAAAAGAATAAAATAAGTTATTAACCTCTGAACCAAATACATATAAAAAACATATAATTTTCACTGATTTGAAATATAAATATAAAATTTGATAAATGATATGTAGTAAAAAATTTAATAGTATTTATGTTAACAATAACCTATCATTATGAAATATTGTTTGTAGGAGTTCAGTGTATTTTTTTATATAGTTTTATTGATTTTGCACTATTAGTAACCTTTTATTTTGTTTTACATTATATTTGATATTGATGCATGTTGTGCTTTTATTGCTGTTACATTTATTAATTATACAATATACCAGTTTTATGTAACTATCAAATAACCATTATTAAAATCAAAAGGACTGATTGAATTTTACAAAAGGTGTCAACATAAAACATTCGAAAAATAAATAGCATAAAAAACACAAGAAAAGCACCATACAAGAAAGTACACAACCAAAAAATAAAAAAAGAGCATAATATGAAAATAGACACGGTCAAGTTGTATATAAAATCTAAAATTCATGCTTTATCATAAACAAGATCTATTAAATTCATAAAAATACAGACAAAAAGAACAGTTGTAACTAGATTAGAAAATTAAAATATAATTATTTTGGAAAAAAAAGAAACTCTTATAACAAGAAAACTGGACTGCATATATCACAAAGAAACTTAATTTTGGATATAATTTTCTTTTTTTTTCATAGGTATAATTTTTTTAATTTAGGTTAGGAGGGGTGCTCCGGCTCGGCTTCCCCTTGATTCCGCCACTGTAAGGTGGACAGGGTACCGAAGAGCATCATCATCATCATCACCCTTATAATAATCATCACCCTTATAATAATAATAATAATAATAATAATAATAATAATAATAATAATAATAATAATAATAATAATAATCATTACTATTATTATTATTATTATAGATGGATTTATATAGCGCAAATAAACGAAGTCTCTATGCGCTCGACAATATTGTAGTCAATAAAAACAGAGAAAAAAGCCAGAAAAAAAAAAACACCAAGCTAGCACCCAAACCGAAGTATGGGGTTACACCATCACCGCCAACCGGAGATTTGTGTTTATGTACTCCGGTTAGTTTCGGTTAGGTCTTGATCTTTTCTGGGATCAGGTACCTCCTAACCTGGACCAAAAAACACTAGCTAGCGAGGTGAAACAGAGAAATTGAAGAAAAAGAAGTTATAAAAAGCAAAAAGAAACGTTTTAAGTCGCTTCTTAAAGATGTTAATTGATGCAGATTCACGGACTTCAACGGGTAGTGCATTCCACATTTTTGGAGCCGCAACACGAAATGATCTCTCACCATATGTTTTCGAACGGCACCCAGGAACAAACAAAGTTGATGAACTTGTAGTCGATCTGAGTGCTCTGGAACAAGTGGATGAGCGTAGTCTGAGAAGATTTTGCATGTACATATGTGATAGGTTATGGAGCGATTTGTACACAAGAAGAATTTTGAAGTGGATACGCTGTCGAACTGGAAGCCAATGTGGTCTTTGAGTATTTGAGTGTCAGGAAGTCCAAATAAGATACCTTTGCAATGGTCATGTTTTGAAGTTATAAGAGAATGAACAAGTTTTTTAGTTGCGTCTTCGTTCAGGAAGCGTCTGATTTGTCTAATATTACTGATGTGATAATTGACAGATTTACAAACGTTGGTAACATGACATCGTGTTTTCAAAAGTAACACCGACATTAGTACGGACTTCCAGTGATGGAGTGACCGTTGTATTACCAACGCGGAGACACTGCAGATTGGGTGAGTTGAAACGATGCCTAGAGTGTATGACGAGAGTTTCAGTCTTTCTATGATTAAAACAAAGCATATTTGCAGATAGCCAAGTTTGTACTTCATCAAGACAAGTTTCAACACGATCAACTGCATCGTCCATCGCATCAGGTTTAAAGCCAAGGTAAAACTGTATATCATTGACGTAAGCAAGATAACGGCATAAGTGCTTGCTAATGATATTGCTGAGGGGACGGATGTAAATGGTGAAAAGAACAGGACACAGAGTTGATCCCTATGGCGTCGTGATATTAAATACGACTGGAATCAATTGAGTACAGAACCAGAGACACCAATGGCAATTAAGCGATTAAGGAGAATAGTATGATCAATAGTGTTGAATGCATGCAGCAGACTTATACCGATAAAACACATTCACCTAAACCAAGAGCATGGAGCATGCATTATGTCATCATGAACTTTCAGTTTTAGCGGTTTCTGTACTAAAAAACTTTCTGTATGCTGACTGGAATTGGTCATTAAGACTATTGTCATAAAGTTACTTGACAAGTTTGGAGACAACAACCTTGTCGAATATTTTGGAAATAAATGGAATGCAGGTTTTAGGTCGGAAATTAGAAAATTTAGTGTGGTCAATCTGAGGTTTCTTCAAAATAGGTGATACCAAGCCAAGCTTCCTCATGAAATAAGCAAGATGACAGGGAGGAGTTAATGAGTTTCCAAAAGCGACTAATCATAATAGTGGTCAGAGACACTAAAATCTTAGTCGGAAACGGGTCTAAGTCACAGGTTTTTAGTTCCCATGGACTTGACAATGTCAATAACATCTTCATTGTTCAATGGGTAAAAACTCTCAAACTTTGAATCCTGTAGAGCAGGAGAACAAGTAGGAAGCCCAATGCTGGGTGATGACTCACTTGGTCTGACCTTCTGAATAAAGAATGCATTGAAATCATTGGCCAGCTGAAGGTGGCTCACAGCAGTTGGAAAAAGATCAGCATCGCAGTTCAAGAAGCTTTCTAGCAATCTTGAACAGGCATTTTTGATAGTATTTACTTGAACCTAAATGGAGGCGATGTGTTCTTCAACCAGTACACGATGATACTCAATGCACTTTTTCTGGTAAGCTAGAAGATTTGCATCTCTTTTAGACTTTCGCCATTTACGTTCTGCTCTTCACTTATTCTTTTTGGCATCACGGCATACTCTATTAAACCATTCAGATGATGTACAATCTGACACGTATACGGTTTTTAATGGAACGAGTTCATCCCTGAGTAAGGTGAGTGAAGAATTATACTCATCAATAGCAGAGTTGGTTTGAATTGAGTCAGTAAAGTGCGAGAGCTCCTGTGTAATTTGACATTGGAAGTAGTTAAGGTTGACCCTGTCATACCTTCTATAAGAGATGACTTTTTCCGGGTAAGTGGTTTGTTGGTATCTAGATTTTAGTGAAGAAAGTAGTGATCCGACAACGGATATGCATCAACGGATGTACTTGTGATAAGATCAGAATTATTAGTAATAATCAAATAAAGAATATGCTGGTGTTTATGGATAGGAACATTTGAGATTGAATGAACTGAATACATCTGAAAGCTAGAGTGTGTAAGCATTTAGTGGATCATCAGCACGTACCGTATGTTGAAGCCAACTGTAATTATGACATTGGAGGACAATGAGTACTGCTCAACAAGAGTTGAAAAATCAGTAAAAAAAACTGCTTGTTCGGACTAGGGGGTAGCATATAGATGACACGAAGCGTGATTGTCTTCAAAGGTAACTTGACGATGGCCTCACAAGCTTCAAATGATCGAAACTGGTCGAGTCTACGGCAGTTTGTTGCAAATCGTGTCATAACAGCAACACCGCCACCTCTGCTATTAATCCGAGGAAATGAAAAGAGCCGCTAACTGCTTAGTTTGCAAGCTGCGATTGGAGAATTATCATTTACTTGAAGCCATGTCTCTGTAACTGAATTGATGTTGACATCATGATCAACTACATATTGGTGGAACTGTATAGTTTTGTTGCAAACAAATTGGGCATTCCAAACGGCAACTTTAACTGAACTATGACTTTTTAAGTAGAGTTAAGAGGTCATTTGAGCCACACCAAAGATGAAAGGTTAAAATTTGAACTGCGTTTGACCTTGGACTTGACCCGTCTGTCAGCTCGACAACCACGATTACGACGTAAAATTCCAAACTTCTTCATACGTTTGTAAGCAGTATCTTAATTTTACGTTTGGTGTTGAGACACATCATTAAACGTCTGCTGTACAATTAACGTGTGCTTCAGTTTCTTGCAGGTAGGCCTAGGTCTCAGCACAGGCAGAGCAACTGACTTGAGCTGAAAGGGAGACAAAGGTTCCAGGCAAGGTAACCATTCATCCGTGTCAAGATGATTTGAGCCTTGTCCAAGGCAAGAAAACATCATGGAAAAACAAGGAAAATAAGGAAAAAATACAGGAAACCACACAGAAAGTATAAAATCTCAAAATCAAGTGATGGAAAGGACTGAAGAAACAGTAACTAGGAAAACACGTATAATCAGCAGCTACAACAAGCGCCATTTTTAATGTCATTATTATTATTATTATTATTATTATTATTATTATTATTATTATTATTTACAATGGTGGATTAAGTGGGGGTGCTGATAAGATGCGATGTTTACCCATTGGCGGCGCCAACGGCAGAATCGAGGACATGCTCGGAGTGATCATGTCATTCTGTTGAAAACACTGCTTTGAAAACGTATTTTCACAGTCTCAAAGTGGCATTTCCGCCGGGTTTCTAGAGACGTCTATTTTCAAAATTTAATCACTATCATATTGATGTTTAATTAATTGGAAATACACTGTTTATGTCGGGCGCCGTAGGTCTCAAACAGATTGGAACTGGCCACCAGCTCAAAAAAGGTTAAATACGCAGGATTTAGTCAATTATTGGTTTATCTAAAAGTTATAGCTCATAGAGCACTGAAAATCAAAGGTCGAGCAAGCTTTGTGTGATAGGTTAGGTGGGGCCGCATTGAGGTTGTTTTAACAGTAATGCAAAGGTCCTACCTGGAAAATGTTTATTTAGGTGACCAGAAAAAAAAAGTTAGTTATTAAATATTTAGGACGACGAGGATGATGAGATGACGATATAAAACAATAATTATGAAAATAGTAATGATGTTGACAAGGTTTTAAGTGATGAAGACACAAATGCAAAATAAAGTGAAGTAACTCCAAGCTGGCATCAAAACCATTCTATTTTTCTTTCTCTTTTGTTTCTATTTTTTTTTTCTATTTCAATGTATTTTCCCAAATTTTTCGTTTCTTTCTCTTACTTATAGTTTCTTATCTTTGTTTCATATTCCGTTATAATTTGCCTTATAATTTGCCTTATCAATTCTTACATTTTCCTTAATTTGTTTTCTTATCTTTCTCTCCTTTTCCATCTTTCCCTTCCTATGTTTCCTTATCTTATCATTTCTGTTCCTTTCTTAGTTTCCGTAACTTATCTTTCCTTTTTCAATTTTCTTTCCTACATTTCATGACCTGTCTTCCAGTTTCAATTTTTATATTTCCTTATCATTTCTTTATTTTTTCTTTATGTTTCCGTGTCTATTTTCCTTATCTTTCCTTTCCTTTTTCTTTCATATGTTTCCTTATCTTTTTATTTTCCATCCTCTTAGTTTCTTATCTTTTCTTTCCTTTTTTCTTTTTTATATTTCCTAATCTTTCTCTCCTTTCACTTTCTTATAATTCCAAATCATTTCTTTCCTTTCCTTATGTTCCTTATCAGTTTCAGTACCCTTGAAAAATGCACTTGTCCTGAAGACAATTTTACTTGTCCCAATATTATTGCGCAAAAATCATAAAAAAATTAAACAAAAGTAAAGTATTTTGCTATGGCGCTACAACATTAATAGGCCTACATGCATACTGCATTGATCACGCAAAACGTGTTTCTTTCCTTTTGTAACTTGCAAGAATTTCAATAATGTATAATATGGACAAATTCAAATATTAATTATTAATAATATTCCCACGATACACGAGTTCTCAGCCACACACTTACAGGACTGTGTTTTATGACTTTATTTTTGGGATGGGGGTGGCCATATTGTAGCACCCATTTGCAGATCTTAATCAATTCTAATACTCACTTCAAATGTTTGAGTTTTATATGCACATTATCTTCAGCACTTAGCAGTGAATGATTTTTAAATCAGGGGTGGTGCCAGTGGGGGCCGGGGGCCACAGCCCCTCCCCCTACCCCCTCGAGGAGAAAAAGTACAATTCGTCGGGGAGAAGAAAAATTATATGTATTTTCTACATATTAGTAGACTCTAAAATCGATTAAATATGCATTTTAAACCCCTAAATTATTAAAATTTTTGGGGGCTTCGCTCCATGGACCACTTTCGAGACCTTTTAATCGAAGCTCGACCACCCCCTACATTGCTATTCTCGGGGAAATCTGACCCCTCGTCGGGGGCATATCCTGGCGTCACCCCTGTTTTAAATTACTTTAACAACTTTAAATCCCTATTTAACTACCCTTTCTTTACCTGTCTACATTGCCTTCCCCATACGCGCAAACGAAATTACCACATGCCTACTAGAAATCTAAGAACATACCAATTGCTGGAAGTGCCAATATGTAAACATGAGAGGTATAGAATTTCACCAGTTCCTACTATCGTTAGATTTCCAAACAATGACTATGCTGCTTCTTACTGATGTTTTTCGCTTTTCGTTTTCTTTTTTTTTTTTTTTTTGACTAAATTTTGCTGTTTTTTAATATGGTTTTTAATTATTCTAGTTATTTTTTTTTCAATATTTAACTGTTTTATACTTGTATGACTTGTGCTTGCCTTTGTGCAATATTTAATGGTTTTTATATCTTTATATAATTGTTATTAATATTTTGTACATACAATTTTTTAGCCTTTGTGCTACCAATTGTATTTTGATGTTTATACCGAAATAAATAAATAAATAAAATAGACTAGTGGTTTCAGTTTTCTTTACTTTGAGGAGATTTAGTGACGAGAAACTGAGAGAGCATTTTGTAATATACTACATGAGAAGTCCGATCACATACTCCGAAGCGAGGTTGTTCAGAGATGTGTATGTTAACAGAATAATCTTATATTCGAAGCTGATGATACATCGCGATGGGACCTAGTGTTCAGCCCTGTATGGTCCTTGTATTCTAATCAATGTAAAAATAAACCAGTGATTGATTTGACTCAGTAAATTAGCCTACATTTACTGTCGGGAACACACAATTACGTGATAATAAACATCAGACAGAAAAAGGTAAAAATTTGTAAGCAATTTATATTATACTGTAGGCATACCGAATTATATTATTCTATAGATAAATTATCATATAAGAAGATATCATACATTTATTTACAATCTATTCCTATGAATTGTTTATTTCAAGACAACACATTAGTGAAATAGAAATTATTATAAACAAAATAATGATATTAATGCCAACAATGATGACGACTATGAACAACTCAATAATGATACTTCCTTAGCCGGACTTCGAAACTTAGCTTTAATTAAAAAAAAAAAAAAAACAGAAACAAGGTAAATCGCCAGGTATCGATGGTCTTACTTTACTATTTATTTCTAATGCACCAGCTTCTGTTGATTTAATTTCATTTCAATTTTAACATATAAAAACTAAAAGAAATGACATATGCTTTGTTCATTATCTCAAACATTATTATGTCATATCGGTTGTGGTAATATTTGGTTATCATAGAGTAACGAAGACAAAAATATCTTACATTCTAAAGTTGCTTTACGATTATCCGATATTGAAAATGAAAAATTTAGCGTTATTATGTTTTATTTAAAAGTAGTGTTTCATGTTCAGATTATCTTTTATATGTTCATGATTTTACATAAAGAAAGAACTTTGCTAAGTTACGTCTAGGTATATTAGACCTTGAAATAAAAAAAAAAGGGTGGTGGAAAAAAACTAAGAAGAAAGACTGAAGATGAATTTCATTTTGTTTTTATTTGTCCCTATTATTTTCAGCAGCATATTGTCTGTCCCTGTTATTATAATAGCATATAATACAAATCAAGACTATAGACGTTAACACTGTTATATTATATATAAATCATCAAAGAAAGGTAAAGACAGTGTTTGAATAAAGGAAATGATGGTTGGTACATCGTGTAGCATAGCTTTCAAAGAATATTGTCCTATAAATAAAAACATTGTGCAATAAACCTCCTACGGGATTCGAACCTGCGAACTCTCACTGTCAAGGCGAGTGTGATAATCATTAAACCACAGAGGCTTCATGGTTGAACAGATTCAAATAACCGTCAGATACACTCCATTGCACAATAGGTACGACTGGAAATAAATAGTAGCATATAATACAAACTAATATATAATTTAACAATATTAACGGCTATAGTATTGTAGGAGTAATGTATCGCAAATACTTGCAAAAAAAAAAATCAAAAGTATATGGGGATGTACTGTATATTCGGTAAGCTAACACGTCAGGTAGGGCAAAACATCATTTTTTATTATAATAATATAATAACAATAACGTCAAATAAAAATATAACAGTAATAAAAGAAATAATAGTAGTAATAGAAAATTAATAAATAAATTAATAAATTTAAATTATTAAATCATATACGAATAAAATAACTTACCTTTCCTCACTAAAATTTCTTGTATAAATTCTTAAAACATCATTAGCGTGTAAGTTGTTGGATTTCTAGTCGTGGGATCGGGAGTTCGAGACCGACGCTCGCGATACTGCATGTGTCCTTGGGCAAGACACTTTACTTACGTTTGCCTCTCCTCACCCAGGAGTATGAATGAGAGGGTCATGCTGTTAACCTGCTCGTTGGTGACCCTGCTATGACTGTTCCAGTCAAATTAATAACAGCAACTAGATATCAATTGATATCATACGAGAGAAAAAAAAGCATGAAAGGATATATTTTTTGTAATGTTCTTGCTGTAGCACGCCAAAGTAGTGTACGTTGTTACTGACGTCTTTCAACGGGAGTAATTTGCTATTTATACTCCCGGTTATGACCAGGCTAAGATTATATTGAAGAAATTAAATAAATGATTTATTTTTTGATGAATAATGGCACAATCATACGTTCTGTCGTAATATTGATTTTCTTATAATATTATGAGCCTATACTAACAAGTTAATATTTGTTAAAAGTATTATGGCCATTTGGCATTTATTCTTCTTCAACCATAATTGATGTACAATAATTACTGGTAGACCTTATATAAATTTCAT